GAGCGGAGGAAGAGAGCAGAGCAGCTTCGCAAGGAGCTGGAGGAGAAGGAGGTGGGGTTGTGTGCTCTGGTGCCAGAACAGCAGTGGTGGGACACACCAGGCTCTGTGCCTTGGCCTGGCTCACCTGGGTGAAATGTGGCAGGAGCTGATCACCTCAGAGGCCACAGTGCCATCACTTGGGGCTGAGCCTCTCCCTGCCCAAGCAGATGCTTGGTTTTGTTCAAGTAGTTTCTCTTCTTGTTCATACCACTGCAGATAGTTTCTTATGTTAATGTGTGGGTGTCTGTGCTAAATGTTGCACACAGCAAGAACGCTTGGACATCGAGGAGAAGTACACCAGCCTCCAGGAGGAAGCACAGGGGAAAACCAAGAAGCTGAAGAAAGTTTGGACCATGCTTATGGCTGCAAAATCAGAGGTTAGTGTCTGAAGTCCTTAGCCCGTGTTCATGTGAGGGACTATAGCTGGGAAGGGTAAGACATTGGCTTTGGAATACTGGAAAAAGTACCTTATGCCTAGAAAAGTCTTTCTGTGTGGTTCATGTAATTAAAAAAGACCTCATTAATTTTGATGTCAGAGCTGCAGAGGATCATGTTGGAGAGCTGCTCCCCAAGCCAGGCTGGGAGGGTGTATGTGTGAGTTGCTGAGATACTCAGAACTTCAAGGAAAAAAAACATTACTTCTGAAACAGAAGTGGTTTGCAGCAGCACAACTGCTCCTCTGCTCTTGGCTGTCTGTCCCTTCTGCCTTCCTTGTCCTTCCTCAGTCTCACACTGGCTCAGGGTGTCCTTTGGCTGGTATCTAGACTCCATGCTTCATGAAAAGTGCATTTTGTCTTTGGGATCAGAGATTTTCCTTGACCTCTTGCCAGGGATATAACTTGTCTGCACACTCTTCGTCTGCTCTTAGCTGGTGCAGAGCTTGGATTGGCAGGAGGCCAGTTTCATCTTTATGAAGCAGAACTTCATGCTATTTTCAGCTGTCTCTGAGCTGGAACGTTTCAGAGGGTTTGTTCTTTCAGAGATAGATATCCTGGTACTTTCAGTCAATGCTTGCTTGCCTTTCCAAAAACCTTGTCTAGACTGTTCTTGTTTAAGCTGCCTTGAGCTAGCTCTGACACCTCTCAAATGCCTGCTTTGTCTGCAGATGGCAGATCTGCAGCAGGAGCATCAGAGGGAGATTGAAGGATTGCTGGAGAATATTCGACAGCTGAGCAGGGAGCTCCGTCTCCAGATGCTCATCATAGACAACTTCATTCCTCAGGACTACCAGGTAAACACCAAGGACCCAAGCCTGTGCTGTGGGTGTGTGCTGAGCCCTCCTGCTTTTATGCTGTCCAGCAAATGGGATGAGTTGCCTTCTCTTCAGGAGGTATCCCCAGGGAACTGACAGACACTTGTCTGCTCAGGTGGAGCCCACATGGGTGGGTGTGTGTTCCTGGGAGCCTTTGCTGTGGCTCAGCTGAGGGGGCAGCTGGGTTGCCCTCTAAGTTGGTGCCATTACCTGGGTTGTCAGAACCAAATGGTGTTCAAGGAAGAAAAGATGCTTTTGTCAAGTGACTCTTGTAACCTCTGGACTTCTACTGGATGTTCAGTTGGAAGGAGATCAGAGTCAGTGGGTGCATTTGGCTCCAAAGTCAGCACAGGGAGGTGAATAATAAGTGCAGCTTGGCTTTGTTGTGTTTCTCAGGGAGGTTGTTAACTTTGGCTCCAGTTCCAGGGCTGTGGAATCTGTTTCAGGGAAGCAGTGTGTACTGTGGGGGGGGGGGTTGTAAGCAGAGTACTAATCCCAGTTCTTGCAGCATATTCTCCTGATGGTTAAAAAAAAACAAGATCACATTCACCATGTGTTTAATTGGTGTCTTTACTGTGTGCCCATACTCTGGGTCTGTTCCAAACTTTTTTTCCACTGGGCTTGGAGCTGTGCTAACAAATGTCTGCTAGTGATGCAAAGTAGTAAGACTGAGCTTGAAACTCTACACTTGTTTTCTTTGTGACCCTGATATTTATGATGAGCTAAAACATGATCTGTGCTATATAGCAGGAAATATAAAAGCTATTTCTCTTCACATATTGTAGGACAGAAAAAAATGAAATATGTTTATTGCTGTCCTAATGGCACTGGCATACTGGGAAACCCATTATTTAGTGGGAGCCACACTGCATGCAGTTTGGGAGTGATGTTTTTCTTTTCTGTAGCCTTCAGGGTATAAACAGGGGTTTTGAACATGAGATGACTGGCTTGATAAAATCGCTTTGGAGTAGTCAAGACTGTGCTTGAGCAGCTTGTCCAGGCTTTTAGGGATGTATATTCTGGAAAATGCACCTGGAGGGTAGATTGTGTAAGCCTAACAATTGCTGTTCTAATTTATTTCTAGGAAATGATTGAAAACTATGTCCACTGGAATGAAGACATAGGAGAATGGCAGCTGGTAAGCTAGCCTGCTGGCTCGTGTACAAGCTGATGTCAGCACAAGCTCCTGAGGAGTTTAATGGAGCCCAGAAGTTAACTGATGAAGCTGTGGACAGTTTTACTGTGCACAGTAGACTTTACTGACAGACTTTTCTTTCAGAAATGTGTTGCATACACGGGAAACAACATGAGGAAGCAGACACCTGTCTTGGATAAAAAGGAGAAAGATGTGAGTGACTCTCTGTGCATGAGTGGGACTGCATGGTCCAGTTTTCTTTTGAAGAGATGAATCTTCCTAGTGTTAGAGGAGCACTGTTGGTCCTGTGTATCACAGAATGGTTTGGGTTGCAAGAGACCTTAAAGACCATCCAGTTCCAACCCCCCTGCATGGGCAGGGACACCTCCCACCAGCCCAGGCTGCTCCAAGCCCCATCCAACCTGCCCTTCAACACTGCCAGGGATGGGGCAGCCACAGGTTCCCTGGGCAACCTGGGCCAGTGTCTCACACTTAAGAACTTCTTCCTTATGTCTAACCTAAATCTCCCCTCTTCCAGTTTTAATCCATTCCCCCTTGTCCTCTCACTACAAGCCCTTGTGAAAAGCCCCTCCCCAGCTTTCCTGTAGCCCCTTGAGGGTACTGGAAGGTTGCTATGGGGTCTTCCTGGAGTCTTCTCTACTCAGATAAAATTATTCTCTTCTCATATAGAATAAATCTGATGGGTTTGGATTTTGTTGTTTGTTTTGTTGTAATTTTTGTAGCCCTTTGAAGTGGACCTTTCCCACGTTTACTTGGCTTACACTGAAGAAAGCTTGAGGCAATCTCTGCTGAAGCTGGAGAGGCCGAGAACTGCAAAAGGAAGATCCAGGCCCAAGACGGGCAGAAGGTGAAGAGCTTTGGAGTATTTATATGTCATGGGGGATTCACCCAGGGGAGTGTCAGTCAGGCTTACTGTCAGTCTTCAAACACTTGCTTAATGAGAAGACAAAATACTAAAATGTTGCGTGGCATCAAGTTTACTGGTGCCGTGTGTGACACAACCAAGCTGAAATCTCTTTTTACAGTGAAATCTTCTCCAGAAAGACTTGTCTGGGGGGTTTTGTGATGCCCTTT